TCTCTATTTACTCACGACTGCACCGCCAAGCACAGCTCTAACGTCATCCTCAGGTACGCTGATGACACCACCACCTTGGGTCTCATCACCAACAACGACGAGAGTGCCTACAGAGATGAGATGGAATCACTGAGTAGCTGGTGTCAGGAAAATAACTTCTCTCTAAACGTCAGCAAAACAATAGCAATGATAGTGGACTTCAGGAAACAGTATGGAGGCCAGCACATTAATCTGAATGTTACTACCTGTGAAGTAACCTGTCACACAACCCGTGTAATTTATGTTAATGTGATATATATATATATATGTATATGTATATATATATATACACATCATGTACATTTCAGCTTATATTACTACCATGAAATACTTATTCATACAAATTCATCCTACTTGCATGGTATTCTACCATGTTGTTTATTTCTTTTGGGCCTTGTAAATATTATATTCCTTTTTCACTTTTTGGTACTTTATTTTGTACCCTTATTGCACGCTATAGTATTTCTTTTTTGTTGTTTTTTGTTTGTTTTTAGCGAGTCAAATCGGTTCTTCTTATCCCGAACATTTCATTGCACTGTTGACCTTGCGTTAATCTGCATGTGACAAATAAATAAACAACAAATGGCACATAATAAAGTAGAATCCAACAATTTAAGTTTGTATCAAGACCAAACTAAACTAAAGACTTTGGAATATCATTAAAAAAAAAAGTTTTGTGGTGTGAAATGTGTTGCATTAAGGCAGTGCGGTAATAGGAGGGTAAGTTCTTCCAAGAGGAAACAAAAGCGAACTGATCACATGTGTGGTTCGACATGACCAGTGCTGCTCCAACATCAGCCTCTGCTATTAGCTCATCATTTATGGGTCAAGTGACCTTCTTTATTTTAAATGCCCATTTGACGATGAGAACCACTGGACGTGGTGGCAGGGAGCCACATGTGCTGCGGAGCTTCTTCAGATATCCTGTCTGATAGACGTCTATTGTTCTAACCCCGGTGTGTCAGCCTCGGCACAAGTGGCACTGACAGCTGCAGCAGGATGACATTTGAGGCTGTGCATGTTTTGTTGTGTCGGTGTTTGTGTGTGTGTGCTCATTGTGCCGGTGCAAGCCCTGCTGTGCACGTAACACTGTTTATCTCACACAACGTTCTCGTCTGTCTTCACTATCTCCAGTGCCAAGTTGACCCATTAGTGTTTTTCTGCAGACGGGTGTCTGGCCTCGTCTTCCTCAGTTTCTGCTCTGAACCACTGCAGGTTGGATCGGCTGCAGCGGAACGTGCATCGTTTCACAGCTGCTGGACAGCGGGCCTGAAAGGTGGCTGTTTCCTGCAGTTGTCGGGGGGCGGGGGGGGGGGGGGGGACTGAATAGCTCTATTACCTCCCACTTCAAGTTCAAACCCACTGATATTTCTCTGTCCGCAGCCACGCTCTGTATGTTTATGTGTCTGTTAGCAAAATATCTAGTGAAAAAAAAAGATTTTAATAAAACTTTGAGGAAATAATCATTGAATTACCTTTTGGAGCCAACTCCATCAAAGATGGCCACAACAGCCAGCCGAGCTTAGAAAAACCCCAAACTGGCTTTAGTTCGTTCAACTTTAAAGATATTGAGCTAAAATTTGGTGCGGGAGTAGTTGAGACTGATCCACAACATATATTTCAAGTGCTACTCATTGTGAAAGATATTTGCTTAAAACATCAGCAATAAACTCTGCAACCCTGTTTATATGTTAGCAAAAAATAAATCACAAGCACCACTGGATGGATTTTAATAAATTTTCAGATGGTAATTATTAAAAGTAGATCTACAGCTGATTAACTTTAGGAGACAGTGTTATTTTATCAGCTGTTCTTATTGTTTTGTTTTATTTTAAGCCTGTAATGGTATTTTTTTTAAAGCACTGTGATTTTATCTATGAAAAGTGCTTTATAAATAAAGTTTACAAGAAGGCTGCTACAGCAAATTTACATTAGCCAACACAAAAAATGGCAATAATTCAGTCAGTGTTTCAGATATTAAGCTCAGATTTGATGTGATAACTGCAGAGATATTCATTTAATAATCTGAGTGGGACATATTTTGATTTAGAGATAATGTTTTTTTAAAGGTTTGACTTAAATGGATACAACTATCATTTCTAAAGGCAACATGATCTTAGATTAAAACTCTGGTGTAAAAGCTGGCTGGTGATTTCTTTAATTCAGGACTTTGAACTTTATTTTACAGGAGAGACACAAGTAAATTTAAATAAGTGTATCACACCAACAAGGCATTTCCTGATTTTGTGTGTGAGCAAGTGTTTTGGGGTCCCCACTCCTGGTATCCAGCTGTTTTTCTGATTACCCATCATCCTCCAGGTGTTGGACCTGCCATCTGCAGATGAGCAGCAGGGTGTGTGGAAGTGGAGGGGGGACAGGGAGCTTTTAAAAAAAAACCCAGAAGAACCGGTTCGGCAGACATCTGGAACGTGTTTAGACGGGTCATTGAGATCCGCGGAGTGTGAACAGACATCGGGCAAATCCGTCTCAAAGTCACTGGGCTGCAAAATGTGAACTTGTAATGTTTTTTTTTTCTTCTTCAGATTACAGATTATTTATGATTATTATCAGGGCTTCTTTGTGTTCAAGCGTTTTGAGCTGATCTGGCTGGAATCAGCCTTAATGGGACCCTGAGAGGAAAATTGTATCCAAGAAAAAAATAAATCGTTTGGGTGATTACAGACGTGAATAAAAGATCATAGACGCTCAGTGTTTGCCTTTTTCTCCATTGTTCTCAATCAGCCTCAAATTGTGGAATCAAAGGCTTGTTTGTACGTATTACTGTTTTTGTACAACTTGGATGTTTCTTTAAGGCCTCGCCGTGATGCTTAATGCTGCCTCTTCATGGAGGTACAGCTTCTCTTAAACTTTATCTGCATCCTGAATTAATTAGGACTATCTGCCGTCCTCCCTCAGTTTAGGGCCCTCTCCTCAAATCCTGTGCTGACCATGAGCCGTTCAAAGAGCTCTGTTTGTTGATCTGTTCTTTGTGACCTCTGCTCAAAAGGTTTTGTAGTTTATGCGAGGCTTTATTGAAGCTGACGCCAGGTTAGGTGTTCTGTTCAAATGAAGACGTATGGGGTTTAATCCGACTTTATCCAAATACATTTTTGAAATCGACCATTGCCAAGTATGTTAAAAGGATTCATGACGGGATTTTCATCTTCAAAGCTGTGCAGGAAAATCTTGTTTGTTTGTTAGGCTTTGCGTGCTATGCGAGTGTGTGAGCAGGCCATGAGGGACGCACACTGATCCTCTGTGTGCACGGCTGCAGGCTCCACACAGGACCTCTGTTCTGTTTCAAACACTGGACACAGACGAGGGCTCTCAGGTGGGCCAAGACCACGTTCACCACACAAACTGTTTCCATTTGAACCTCCTCAGACTTTGTCAAAGCTAACTTTGTCAGCAGGATGCAGTAGCCATTTTAGCCTCTTTTTTTTGTGTGGGGGGGGGGGGGGCGGCTCAAGCACCCCTAAAAAAAATTAAGAAACCATCATTAGGATTTTGTAAAGAAACTCAGCTGTCAAACCTTAGATTCACCAAAATATTGAATAAAATTCAAATAAATGATGACACTTTTAAAGCGGGACAGTAAAATCTATGATTATTTTTGCACGAGTCGGCTCCTCGACGCCACCTGTCAATCAATCCAGCAGGCTAGTCAGCAACTGACCAATCAGCAATCTCAATTTTCCCTGAAGGTAAACACCCCTTACTTGCAGGAGCTGCACCTCCTTTTCTTCCAACAGCATTGTCGGAGTTACGCTAGCTTAGCGCTACATTGGTGCCGGTAGTTGTCGACTGCTTGAGAGAAGCGGAGCATGCTCAATTCACACAAGGAGAGCTGTTGGTCAGGCTACTTCTTGTTGCTCTCTAAAATAGTTATTGAATCAAGTGTTTACTTATGTATATTTTTCAGCGTATAAGTCGCATCAGTCAAAAAAAGCATCACGAAGAGGAAAAAACACATAAGTCTCTTTGGCGTATAAGTCACATATATTATGCGTCACTGCTGAACTGTCATGTTTATTATGCGTTTATTTAATGGTCAAAACGGCTTTATTTCACCTGGGCGGCACAGCGCCATCCATCCATCCATCCATCCATCCATCCATCCATCCATCCATCCATCCATCCATCCATCCATCCATCCATCCATCCATCCATCCATCCATCCATCCATCCATCCATCCCTT